CGCCTCTGGATCCTCCGTTGTCCCTGTACGTATCATAAGCAATTCCATCTCCTTGTAATATTCATCCACACTCATATTACCTTGAGAGAGCCGCTGCAACTTGTTGTACATATCTTTTTATAGTGCTCAGGAACAAAACGTCGCCTCATGAATTCTTTCATACCTCGCCAAGTCGTCGGGCGATGTCTTGAACGACAAATTTGATTCCACCAAATTAGCGCGTAACCGGTGAACTCAATTCCAGCAAGTTGAACTTTCTTCTCCTCACTATAATGATGGGCATCAAAAATTTGATTAACACGCATCTCCCACTCCAAATAGCCTTCTGGTTCGCACTTGCCGGAGAAAGAAGGGATTGAAATTTTTATGCGCCCAATTCCATCGTCCAAAGGAACACGCACAGCTTGACCAACACGGTCATGCGCTCCACCACGAGCGGAAGTTTCAGGACGAGGCTCATAGTGTCGTGGTCGTGGAGCGTACCCCACTGCCTGGTCAACGCCGTCATCAAGACCATCATCTCCAACATGAGGTGCCGCCAAACGGCGATCATGCACGCCGGCATGTCCGTCGTGAGCCGGTGGTGCATAACGCAGTGGAGCAGCCGGAGCAGTCTGTGGTGGTGCAGAATTCGTTGCCGGCATATTGATGATGTCTGCCAAACCATCGAACCGAGTGATCAGGACATCTATCCTTTTGCCGAGCGCATCATGACATTGCTTGATGTAGTTGCATGTGTGGTCAAAACCATCCCGAATATTTTGAGGAATATCATCCGCGTACACTGGACGTACAATTTCCTGAGAATCAGCAGCAACCTCGTCTTCCTTGTTGACCGAGGTCGACATCTTGATCAACACAATACCGTGAACAACCTTAGCTCTGAATACCACTTGATGTAGACTCGACTAGATGGCGAGTCGTTCGTCGGCCCGAACTTTCACGGTACTAGCAGCAACAAGAAATTCCGATCGAGCAAAGATACAAGACCGTAATATCAAAAACTGGCGTCGAGTAGATGAATCAACTCCACGCGTAGCAGCGAAAAAATCCGTCACGGATCAGCAAAAGCAAACACGATATTTGGTGTCCCCCGACATGAGACTTTTCTGACTTTTATTCAACTCACGATCTAAACAAAACTTCTCAAATAAAACCTGACCCTGTACACGGCCGTAGCCGGCCCCTTATATAGGCGCACACAACCGACTCTCTAGCTAGCTTAAACTGACTTGGACTCCTACTCTTATCCCAACTAACAAATTAACAAACTTAATTATCCGGCACCGTTGATCACATAGCAACCTATGAAAAACTAGGACTCTTCTTTATTAGACCAAAAGAAATCAACGTGACATATCCTTAAATAAACTAAATCTTGATTTTCATGGTGCCTACCATCACGTATTGGCTTGGTGTTCTAAACCGTGGCTCAACCTTGTCTTGTACTGGTATTTTAATTACCATGTCCCCTATTCGTAACATATGCCCTGCGCTACCTGAAGCTTGCTCCGTCGTTAGCTTGACTGCCCTGCAATCTTTTGGTCCATTGTTCTGCTGCATATCAAGCTCGCGATTTATAGTAACGACAGCACCAGTACACCGTTGAGCCGGAAACATAGCAATGGCACTAGTGGCCACATCACGAGATATATAGACACGATTAGTGGGAACATGAAGACATTTGTAACCTTTATGAAGAGAGCTATAGCCAAGAAAAACACACTTCTTAGAACGAAACTCAAGCTTGCGCTTATTATATGGACGAAGATGCGGCCAGCAAGCACACCCAAATACCTTGAAAAAGGTATAATCAGGTTGTTCATTAAGGAGAACCTCAATGGGAGTCTTCATGTTTAAAACACGAGTGGGAGTACGGTTGATGAGAAAGCATGCAGTGGTGAAAGCATCACTCCAAAACCGAAACGGAACAGATGCATGGGCCAAAAGAGTAAGACCAGCTTCAACAATATGAAGATGCTTACGTTCGACTGAACCATTCTGCTGATGTGTATGTGGACATGCTAAACGATGAGCTATCCCAAGCGACTGAAAGAAGGAGTTGAGGTTGCGATACTCGCCCCCCCCAGTCCGACTGGACATGAACAATTTTGTGCTTGAGAAGACGTTCAACATGTTTTTGAAACTGAACAAAAATATCAAACACATCAGATTTGCGTTTAATAAGGTAAAGCCAGGTAAAGCGACTATAAGCATCAACGAAACTGATATAGTAATTATGACCACTGACAGAAGTCTGAGCAGGACCCCATACATCTGAAAACACAAGTTCTAAAGGATGTTTCACCTCACGACTGGACTCCGAAAAAGGAAGTTGATGACTCTTCCCCTGCTGACAAGCATCACACACTGCTACATCTGTATTACTAGACAAACTAGGAAGCTCATGACGACGCAAAATATGACGGACAATAGGTGTGGCCGGGTGACCAAGACGAGCATGCCACTGTGACGAAGAGACCCGAACTCCACTGAAAACACGGGCGACGCCAGGATGCTCCAGACGGTAGAGGCCCTGGCACAACCGCCCACTAAGAAGAATGTCCCTCGTGCCCCGATCCTTAATAAAAAGATCAAAAGGGTGAAATTCACAAAGCACATTATTATCACGTGTGAGTTTAGGAACTGAAAGAAGATTACGGGTCACAGATGGAACTCGAAGAACATTGCGAAGCTGAAGACTCCTATTGACATGTCTAGTGAGAAGAGATGCTTGACCAATATGAGAGATGTGCATACCTGCTCCATTGGCGGTGTGGATCTTGTCGGAGCCATGATAGGGTTCACGAGTGTGAAGCTTCCCCATCTCGCTGGTCAGATGCTCTGTCGCCCCAGAGTCCATGTACCAGTGTGGATCGATGGAGTAGGACTGAGTGTGTCCCTGTTGCTTCTGCGGCGGGGGACGATCAGCCATGGCGACCTGACGGGCATTGTTGCGTGTATCTTTGCCGTCATTGCCAAGACCAAGGAAGCTTCGCTGGAAGCGCTTATGACACTTGGAGGCCCAGTGCCCATCGCGGCCACAAAGCTGGCACACACGTGGACCACCAGCCCCCGGTAAGGTCGCAGTAGGTGGGGGGCCGAGGCGGGCGACGGTGGCAGCCCCAAGGGAGACCGGGGTGATGAAGAAGAGCGGCCACCCTTGGTGGCGACGTTGGCCGAGAGGGAGCCAGTGCCCCTGGAGCGGCGTGTCTCGACCCGTTGCTCAGTGAGAAGGAGCCGAGAGAAAACCTCGTGTGCCAGCATGGGTGTCGAGTTGCCCCTCTCGTTGATGATCTCGACTAAGGCATCATACTCCTCATCAAGACCATTGACAATAAACGAGTTGAACTCGGAGTCGGTGAGGGGCTGTCCAATGGAGGCCAATGTGTCGGCGAGGCCCTTGACCTTGTTGTAGAACTCAGTGGCAGTGGAGTCAAGCTTCTGACACTCTCCAAGCTGACAACGGAGTGCAGAGACACGAGCCTGGGACTGCGCTGCAAAGGTTCGCTCAAGGATGGTCCAGGCCTCATGAGACGTCTTCGCGAAGACAACAAGTCCGGCAACTGCCGGCGAGAGCGACCCCTGGATGGAGGAGAGGTTCGCCTGGTCCTGCCCCGTCCAGACGCGATGGGCCGGATTGTAGACCGGACCGTGCACGCTGTCTACCAGTGCGGGTGGGCAGGGAAGCGATCCGTCGACGTAGCCTAGCAGGTAGTGACTCCCCAAGAGCGGGAGAACCTGCGCACGCCAGAAGATGTAGTTGTCGGCGGAGAGCTTGATGGTGATGAGATGACCGAAGTGAAACGGCGGCGGCGAAGACGATCCCATCGAGGGGGTTGCCTGGGGTGCAAACACCATGGAGGCAGCCGGAGGCACCGAAGCCGATGCGGGAGGAGGCGGGATCGCAGCCAGGGCGGACGCCGCAAAGCTCGCGGCCCGGTCGGACGCCGCAAGGCCCGCGGCCGGGGCGGACGCCGCCAACCCCGCCAGCGGGGCGGTGTGATCCGCTTGCGGCAGGAGCGGCGGGACGACGCCCGCGGAGTCCGCAGCGGACGGCGGCGCCGCGCTGTGGACCACGAGGTCGCGCCCAAGCAAGGGCGCCGGCGGCGTGGAGTAGACGGAGCCGATGCTCCTGGTCCCGATCGGAGCCGGAACGGCGACGGCATCAAGCGGGAGGTTGAGCAGAGCCGCAAGAGAGGCCGGGAGGAACCCTGCAGCAGTGGAACCGGTGGTGGCGGCGCTCGACATGGTGGCGGTGAAGGCGGCGGCGGCTGCGGCGGCGGTGCGGGTATTAGGGTTTGGAAGCGGAAGCGATCGTAACCTAGCGTGATACCATGTAAGACAATAAGTTTTGGGGGAACCAGCACAACCCTCTAGGGGTGGCTTATCTCATTATATATAATGGATGTGTTACAATATGTACAATATACGTACATAAGTACAGAAGCTATACATAGTCTAACACTCGCCAATGGCGCCGCGCGTTGCACGATCAGGGCCAGGACTAAAAAGCCACTTTGCTAAAGGTCAAGAGCAACCCAGCGGCTTTAACAGCTTTCACTTGCCAAGAACCCCAATCAGCCGAGCGCGATCACACGAAGTGGCAACGCACGATGAGTCGTGTGCCACGGCGCGCCGCGCGCGTGCCACCGTGTGCCGGGGGTTAAGCCGGCGCGTGCCCGTCGGGGTGCCCCGGTGTCCATTCGCCCGCCGTCCGATCAGAGCCACGGACGGCCGCGATGTGTTTCCTTCGCCCAAACCCAAGGCGGCGGCAGGGGTACGAGGAGTGGAGGGAACACGGAGACGCGAATGTGGAATATAAATTGGGACGACCAGAGGTCAGACGCTACCATCCAAGAATCTCCGCAAGTGTACCGAGCTACTTGTCCACCGGAGATACATAGGAGCAAATCATTGTAGCTTCGTAGCTCTGCTCGGGGGCAGCCACACCCCACAGCCAGCGAAGCAGAGCGTGTGTGTGACAGAGCGTGAGAGAGATGTCGTCGACGAAGCCGCCGGCCGACGCGACGGGAGGGAAGGCGGCGGCGCAGGGGGAGGGGGAGGGGGGGCGGTACCCGGTGGAGGAGGTGGCGCTGGTGGTGCCGGAGACGGACGACCCGGCGACGCCGGTGATGACATTCCGGGCCTGGACGCTGGGGCTGGCCTCCTGCGTGGTGCTCATCTTCCTCAACACCTTCTTCACGTACCGCACGCAGCCGCTCACCATCTCGGGCATCCTGGCCCAGATCCTCGTGCTCCCCGTCGGCCGCTTCATGGCGTCCGTGCTGCCCGACCGCAAGGTCCGGCTCCTCGGCGGCCGCCTCGGGAGCTTCAACCTCAACCCGGGGCCCTTCAACATCAAGGAGCACGTCATCATCACCATCTTCGCCAACTGCGGCGTCTCCTACGGCGGCGGCGACGCCTACTCCATCGGCGCCATCACCGTCATGAAGGCCTACTACAAGCAGTCGCTCAGCTTCCTCTGCGCCCTCCTCATCGTCCTCTCCACGCAGGTCCGATACCTTCATCATCAATCTCGTTCGTTCAATTTCATGGGCCATGGTTTTTGTTAGCGCCATTCACAGAACCAAAAGTTCAAAGTTTCATTTTTAAGTTCTGTTGATTGATCAATGCGCATCAAGGAATTGACAGTGCCCTATGTTCCGTTTGGTGTTCGATTCCACACGCGAATGCGACGGGCACGACGGGCACGAGGCATCTAGCTAAGGGCTAGGAGATGTGACCAACACTATAGATGTCTGGCTGCCAATCGATGGTGTGATGTTTTGGTCCGCGTAGAGAGTTACCGCCAATGATTCTTCGGAGAAAGGATGGAGGAAAATCTTGGCGCCACCGAGAATCCATGGCCCTACGAATAATTGGCGGAACTCTGTTCTTCTTGCGTATGCATGCACCTCTTGTGGAATTTCGACGTGGTCAACTTTGAAATTCTGTCAAAAAAACTAAAAAATTCTGTCAATATTGCATCGTGGATGTATATTCTCCAAAAAAAAATACATCATGGATGCACTGTCATGTCATTAAGCGATTATTAGTTAAATATAATCCAGAAGAAAAGTGTCTGTGTTTTTACTCATGTGATGTTTTTTTAAGAGTACGAAAGCAAACACTGGAGAAAGTGCACTGACTTGTGCAAAACTGCATGCAGATTCTGGGCTATGGCTGGGCTGGCATGCTGAGGAGGTTCCTGGTTGACCCTGCCGAGATGTGGTGGCCTTCTAATCTCGCCCAGGTCTCCCTCTTCAGGTAGATTCTACCCACGAGCTCTGCTAAAGCTAATCTTAATTTGGGGAGGTAATTTGGGTTACTTACAACTTTGGATGGAATGCAGGGCGCTGCACGAGACGAAGGAGGGCGGGAAGCCGGCGAAGGGCCCGTCGCGGATGCGCTTCTTCCTCATCTTCTTCTTCGCGAGCTTCGCCTACTACGCGCTCCCCGGCTACCTGCTTCCCATCCTGACCTTCTTCTCGTGGGCGTGCTGGGTGTGGCCCCGCAGCATCACAGCGCAGCAGGTCGGGTCCGGCTACCACGGTCTGGGCGTCGGCGCCTTCACCCTCGACTGGGCGGGCATCTCGGCGTACCACGGCAGCCCGCTGGTGGCGCCGTGGGCGTCCATCGCCAACACGGCCGTCGGCTTCGTCATGTTCATCTACGTCATCGTGCCGCTCTGCTACTGGCGCTTCAACACCTTCGACGCCCGCCGCTTCCCCATCTTCTCCAACCAGCTCTTCACCTCCACGGGCCAGAAGTACGACACGACCAAGGTGCTCACCGCCGACTTCGACCTCAACGTGGCCGCCTACGACAGCTACGGCAAGCTCTACCTCAGCCCGCTCTTCGCCATCTCCATCGGCTCCGGGTTCCTCCGCTTCTCCGCCACCATCGTGCACGTGCTGCTCTTCCACGGCGCCGACATGTGGCGGCAGAGCCGGAGGGCCATAGGCGCCGCGGCCAAGCTCGACGTGCACGCCAGGCTCATGCAGAGGTACAAGCAGGTGCCGCAGTGGTGGTTCCTGGTGCTGCTGGCGGGGAGCATCGCCGTGTCGCTGCTCATGTGCTTCGTGTGGAAGGAGCAGGTGCAGCTGCCATGGTGGGGGATGCTCTTCGCCTTCGCGCTCGCGTTCGTGGTCACCCTCCCCATCGGCGTCATCCAGGCCACCACCAACCAGGTGAACATCTTTCTTCCGTTCTTCATCAGTAATGCTACAATTTTTGCTACCGCTGCACTGATCATCAACGGATTCATCGCCTGATCTGCTTGCAGCAACCCGGGTACGACATCATAGCGCAGTTCATGATCGGCTACGCGCTACCCGGCAAGCCCATCGCCAACCTGCTCTTCAAGATCTACGGCCGGATCAGCACCGTGCACGCGCTCTCCTTCCTCGCCGACCTCAAGCTCGGCCACTACATGAAGATCCCGCCACGCTGCATGTACACCGCCCAGGTACGTGACAGAGATCGATCTCTCAGCCCCCACAATGCACTAGATGCTCATCACTCGCTGAACTAACCGGCGTGCGCTTGGCCGGTGCAGCTGGTGGGCACGGTGGTCGCCGGCGTGGTGAACCTGGCGGTGGCGTGGTGGATGCTGGACAGCATCGACAACATCTGCGACGTGGAGGCGCTGCACCCGGACAGCCCCTGGACGTGCCCCAAGTACCGGGTCACCTTCGACGCGTCGGTGATCTGGGGCCTCATCGGGCCGGGGCGCCTCTTCGGCCAGCACGGGTTGTACCGGAACCTGGTGTGGCTGTTCGTGGTCGGCGCCGTGCTGCCGGTGCCGGTGTGGCTGCTGAGCCGGGCGTTCCCGGAGAAGAAGTGGATCGCGCTCGTCAACGTGCCCGTCATCTCCTACGGCTTCGCCGGGATGCCGCCGGCCACGCCCACCAACATCGCCAGCTGGCTCGTCACCGGCACCGTCTTCAACTTCTTCGTCTTCAGGTACCGCAAGGGGTGGTGGCAGAAGTACAACTACGTGCTATCGGCGGCGCTCGACGCCGGCACCGCCTTCATGGGGGTGCTCATCTTCTTCGCGCTCCAGAACGCGCACCACGACCTCAAGTGGTGGGGCACCGAGGTCGACCACTGCCCGCTCGCCACCTGCCCCACCGCGCCCGGCATCGTCGTCAAGGGCTGCCCGGTCTTCTGAGCACTGAGCTCGCCGGAGCATCATCGGACACTGCCCGCCATGTATGTAGCTAGCAGCGATCATCGTCTGGGTTGGCAGAGGAAGCCATGAATTCAACCTCTGCATTAATTACCCGATGCAGCCGCCCGTCCTGAGTCACATTGTGAACATTGTGTGTTTTGTTTTTCTCCAAGGAAATCAAATGCCTAGCTTATATAAAATCATCGCTCTGACTATACTCGTAGGCAGATCACATCCTTCAGTATTAGTGTGAGGATTCACATAGAAATGGTCAATGCAAAGCAGCAAACAAAGCAATTTGCAAGGATACAGGAATACACACATTTTGACAGAACATAATGATAAGAACAGAGCATATTCACTATTCTCAGTTGTCACCTATCAGGCTATCGGCAGAGTGACGTGAGAGGGAGGCACCTGTGGTCGTGGGCCGTCGGGCACGCTGGAGTGGATGGTTCAGAGCGGCAGCTCGAAGACCTCGTCGCCTCTCGCGGCGATGTGCTTCCTGCAGACCCACCCAATGTGGCCGTCGTCTCTGTACCGAACGCGCCACAGGCCAAACCTCTGCGCTATGTCCATCCCTGTCAGAACTCCTTGCCCTCTCAGGAAATCCACAAGCCACTGCCTGGCCGCTTTCATGTCCTCCCCCATGTCGTTGGTGCCACTGTTCCTCGCTCTTCCGTACATCACTGCCGCGCCTAGAGCCCCCACCGACGAGGCGGACACGCCGTACATTGCCGAGGAGTCAAGCAGGTGCACCACCTCCCTGCTGAGGTCAGGGATCATCTCCCCCATCCCAACGATGAAATGCGCTCCGATCTTCAAGGCGAATGTTAAGAGCTTCATGAACTTGCTCATGTAGGGCAGCAGGGACTGCACCGCTTGGTTGTCCACCTGGATCAGATCACATCCGATCTGATCCTCCACCACATGCATCTCTCTTCGGAACTCGCACAGCATGTGCACCCGTAGGGATTGCATGCCGGGCAGGATCCTTGTGACCAGCTTCCTGGAGCGGTTGTCTAGGCTGACAAGATAGAACATCTGAGGCACTTTTCTGTCTTCCAGTTGAATGCTGTAGTTCATCACGTAGTCCATTTTCCTGTGGAGCTCTGTCACAAGGTGATACTCGTAGTACCTCAAGCTTGCAATCTCTTCCTTCAGGTCCCTTATTCCTTGCTCTATTATCTTCAGTCTTTGGAGAACCATCTCGACTCCTCTCGCGATGCCCAGGATGGAGGGATCAACCACGTCTGCTTCAGGGATAGTTTCAGGCTGCTGCAGATTGTCAGGGGTGACAGCGAGTTCAGTCGCAAGAAACTGTAAATCATAATACCTACGGTGCAGAACTTCATGGAAGTCATCATCTGATAGCAGATCTCTGGCATGGTCAGATCCTGATCTTAAGATGAGCCTTTTATTGCTTTCAACTGCACTCCAGGTATGCTGATAATCATATATGCTTTCTGCCGGCAGTGACAGTAGAATTTGCTTTAATTTTTTCAGAGGGAGCTGTTGAGTTGCACGGAACCTTCTTGGTATGAGATATTTCACACAGTCAGGCCTGAGAATGCTTTCCTTGAACGTCATATTGGGAGACAAGTTCAGTATCGCTGGGATTACAAACTTGTGGAGTAGCCTCACCATGTCCGTAATATTTCTATTGGAGCATGCAAGCACATCTATAGATGAGCCAAACTTCATTCCCAGCTCCATCTTTACATGGACACCATTAATCACTGTATAAATAAGGTTTTTCTCCAGGTTATAAACTGCTTCCTGCTGCCCAAGACACATGATTTTGTTATGCAGACGAACCTGGAAAGCAAAATTTCCTTTAGAAAATCGAATCTGTATCTATACTACACTGAAGCAATATCCAGGTGTAACCGCCAGTCAGTATATATGTTCAAGAGTAAATATCAGAAAAAGCAGAACAACTGTGGCATTGTTTTTGCAAAGCCTCAACTTCTAAAAAATAAAGGACCTTGCAATATATTGGCAGCTACAAACTACATTAGTAATTAGCTGTTGGTGTATGTTTTTACCTGCAGTCTTGGAAAGAAGTCACTTGTTAGGAGCATGTGTACATCTTCACATTCGAGACGCCTTCCAACAAATCTGCATTCCGGCATAGTTAACTGCCATTTCTCATCCCCTCCTTTGTTTTCCTCAAGAATGGCTGGTAGTAAGAGTAATGTATGTGGGTTCCCAGGGTCCTGTTCATAGCATAATTCGAGTTCCAGCAATATATTTATGATGTCACTGGCCTGTAAGGATGCACCAGTTCTCCAGTTTGTTCTTGGAATTTGGTTGCGCAGCTTCTCTTGCAGAACCTTCTCCAACTCCTCTTTATGGACAAAACCACCACTGCTCTCTATCTTGATTGACTTCAATGTAGCTAGTTGGCTGAGGACATCTCGGCAGAACCATTCACAATTCATCACCAGAAGTCCAAGTTCCTCAAAAAATACTATTTCACCCAAGGTATGCAGTGATTTCGCAACAGCACGTCTCCGTGTGTCCACTTTCTCCACATTATCACGCCTCGATCTCAATCTTAGCGATGGAATGTTGAGCTGGCATATCTCGCAGAACTCAGCCCACCTGATCACTGCTCTGCTATTCTTCAACCTCCAGTCATGCAAAATCTTGATCAAATCATTACATACTTCATAAACTTGAGGAACTTGTTGGATTATTGTCTTTGTTGTCTGTCGCAGGTGATGAGTGAGTTTGCTTACTGAAACCAATGATCTCGAGTCCACAGCAAAAACAGTGGGGTAAATTTCTGCATGTGAATGGAAATCTTCTCTGAGCCTATGTACAACGGTAGCAATTGGCTGTAGCCCTTCTGGTAGATGAGATACCTTGTCATAATGGGTGAGAACTATAGTTACACAGGGTCGGAACGAGTGTGACCGTGATACTCTCCGCCTATAATTTGAAATCAAGAACCTCAGCCAGTATATGAGTTCCCATTCAATCTCATCTATGCTTTTTGGATATTTAGTAGCAGGCTTTCCAACCAAACTAGACACAATCATGAAAAAGCTTGGACCACCAAGCACCACGAACATGAAATCATGCAACGCAAAACTTCCTTCATTTCCACCAAGATTACACATTGTCAACTTTGTGTTGCCATCAAAGATTGAGTTCATCTTATTCTCATCGGTAAATGGCATTTGCTCAACTGGAGTCTTCTGAGTTTTTCTTACATCCATGTGAGGCAAATTCATTGAGTTCATGCACTGATTCATGGAGCTACATAGCGTGCTTTTACCTGAGAGCACATGCAAATTGAAGCATCACATTTATAACCAATTCTTAGACAACATAATGGGATTTGTTTTTGTAGAGCTGTCATGTAAGGTACAAATATTTGTATAGCGAAGTCAACAAAATGTTGGAACTAATTTAGCAGGCCCACATGTCATGTGAATGTGAAGCACATTCCATCAAAATGATATTTGACATAATCTATTCAGAAAATTCACAGGTTACCAAAATTGTATGCTGAACAAAATAAAACTAGTATTTCTTTATTGAGGCCTATAGATTAGAAAAAGGATGGTGCTGGTGGGTGAAATTGCACCTGCTAATTCTTGGCCACACAGAACAACTCGGCAGCATGTAGGAGCACTTAGTGGCAAATCAAGCAAATCATTTGGCAGAACCAAACTCCCGTTCTGACCAAGTTTCTCATATATTTGGCCTGTCTTGCCTGCAACATGCAAAGGTGTTTCATGAAGATCAATTTCTTCAATCCATGGATTGACCTGCAAAGTATTCATAATGGTCTGTAAAACTGCTTCCCCCTCAACTCCCTTGCACCCTCTGAATGATAAAATTCGAAGAGTGGCATTCCTTTGTAAGGTTGTAAAGATATTGACAACATCACTTGATCTCAGGCTTGCATCATCACATATTGCCAGCTGAATAAGGCTCTGGTTTGTCTCCAACATCTGCAAGATTGCAGCCACACCATATCTACCTATATTTGTTCTCTCTCCCCCAAAACTCAAAACCTTCAAAGTGGAATTGGCTTGTGTCTGAAGTGGCGAGAATGTGCTAAGAGGGCATAACAAATGCTCCAATCCAACTCCACCAAAGCGATTCCCATCCAAAGTCAAGCTCTCTAAATACTTGTTCTTGAACAGTCCTGCAGCTATATACACCACTGCTTTGTCCCTGAGGCAACACTTGGTAAGTTTGACAACTTTTAGGCTCCTATTCCGGTCGAGGACCTCTCTAAGTTCTTTGGTCCATCTGGACTTCAGAGGGACACCCGTCATGTCCAATGTTGTCACCGTGGTGTTCCATGCCAAAGCACAAGCAACCCGTTGTAAGCCTGTAGAATTGATATTGCTGTAAATCCTCATGTTTCCAGTTTCTGGCAGGAACTCAACAATTTTACAGTTGTTCATGCCACCTCTTGTATCACGACTGCGTCCCCATATATGCACCTCCACTCTGCGGTTGCGTGCCAGCACAGCAGAGATAAGCGGAGCCGCTGGAATGGAGTTGTTGTCAAGTATAATCAGCAGCTTCAACATATAGTTCACCTCAATCATCTTGGAGAGTTCTTCTGCTCCCTTGGAGCCCATGGAGTCTTCCCATACTTGAAACTCTTCCACACTTCTGTTCTTTGCCAAAGCTGACGCAAGCAGTGTCGCTCCAGCAGCTCCAATTCTACAATCATTGAAAACAACTGCTTTCAAGGTGTTGTTCCTTTGGAGCATTTCCGAGAGTGGGACTAAAGCAACAGCTGATTTTGTGCTAAACACATTTTTTTGGAACTCCACCTGCTTCACATTCGAGCCAGGGCCTAAGTATGAACAGAGAAGTTGGATTGCTTCAGGCTGCCATTCAATACCATGAAAAAGGAGATTAGTCACGCCTCTGTAGCTCTCTTTCGAATCCACAAGATGATGCAGAAACTCAAGCAGAAAGTTGACACCATCCTGGTCTGTACAAATATGGATCCTTAGTGATCTCTCACTTTCCATAGACAAGCCCGATCCCGAGTTTGCTGCAACCTGGTAGAACGCGATGTTCTCAATGTCCTTGTACTCCTGTAAATCAATTTCTGCAACATCTCTGATATACTCCTGGTTAGATGGTGATGGTACCATGATGATCCCATCACCCATACTTGGAGGTGTCGATGAAGAGCAGTTGAATCAGGGACAGGAAGCAGAGGTGAAGGTTTACCTTTACCATGCAAGTAGAATTCAGATGTATATAGGTGTCTGAACAAAACAGATTTCAGAGGCAGATGTCATATATGGCAACTGGAAAGAAAGTTTTCTAAAGAAAACGAGTGCAAGGCAAGGTCAGGCATCAGATTCCTGGCTTGTCTAGGGAGCATGATAAAGAAAGGAATAATCTTTATTTTGCTTTGCTTGTCTGAAGGAACATGATTGGCAAAGCTAATAAGTTCCAAGTATACGAAATCACTTGCGTGGTTCCACGTACCAAGGTATCAGAGTTGGTATGCTGAAAGCCTGAAAATATCAAAGTTTTGCTTTGATTTTCAACTTTTTAAAGCATCAACCATGACTCCACTATATGTATGATCCATCCTAACTACGTGCACCCATCCAAAATATCAGATATAACACATAGAAATTGCAACGCCAGCACAAATTTTGACAGGAAACATCTACACTGTCAAACAATAAACTTAAAATTCTGTTCACTTGTTTCATTGCAGAATTCAGGAAATAAAAGAAGATTTACTTCCCATTGTCTTACATCACTGGTAATCAATTTTCTTATTTCTTAATTTTAACATTATATTGCAGTGCGCGCTTTAGTCAGAAAAAGATTCTCAGAAGTGTCCAGGAAGTAAAGAACAAGTGCAGGATGCCTTTAATATTCAGATAATAAAAGTTAGCCCATCCTTTTCCCATCTTAATGTCTACAGAGACTGAGCCTTATATGACCTTCACACAACTTGTAGATTTCCATCAAACCAAGCACATTGTAGAGTTACTTAATTGTTAAGGTGCTAGGAGTAGAAAGAAGCAAAATGCATACATACTTACCACCAAGTGCAGCCAGAGTGAAGAACTGCTATCTGAAGAAGCAAGCAGCAGCAAGGCTGATACTGCTACTTTATTTTATCCTTCACTTCACCACAGTTTTGGCTCAGCAAGGTATGAAAATAACTTGTGGCTCCTGATTCCAAAATGCTCATGCGCTATTTATCCTTTATTTTTCATTTTTAATCTTATTATCTCTAATCATCCCAGTGTTTCTTCTTTCAAAATTCTATTAACATAAAATCCAATCTCAGAGTAAGCAATATAGTAAAGACTAACAGTCTGAAACATGCCGTATGGTAGCTTGGTAGAGAGAGGATATGTGCATATCTGAAATAGCATATACCGAGTGATTCAACTCTGTTACTGAAAACAAAGATATGCAGACTTTAAACCATGCAAACCGGGGGAGGGGGGAGCCGCTATTGCCAAATCCACTGCTCAAAGTTACATAAGCAGATTTCTGTCAGATTCATTAGTGGGTATATTTATTTTGCTCTTGAGATACCAGAAACTTTTGAGCCTGAGAAATCATGGCCTCATTGCTGTTCATACTTAGATTCATGGGGTGCTATGCTAGCAAGATAAAGTCAACTGTAACCTTGACCCCATAGTAAATACAGAAATAATCACTGAACATTGAAAAGAACCATCCAGTAACTGAAATAGTGTGATCTGAATTCATATGTCTCCCAGATAAATAAATGAAACACTGAACCATTTAAGGCATTTGAAGAAATACTTACACCTATAAATTTTCAAGCAGAGGATCGCAACTGGGAGAAGCAGTGGTGCATAGTGGATGAGCAAACACCAGATGATATCCTACAGATTGCTCTTAGCTGGGCATGTGGTCCTGGAGGTGCAGATTGTACGATGATTGAGCCTAATAAATCATGTTACCTTTCCAATACAGTCAGGGACCATGCATCTTATGCCTTCAACAGCTACTGGCAAAAATACAAGAAACATGGTGGTTCTTGCTACTTCAATGCAGCTGCAATGGTCACCGACCTAAACCCAAGTATGTTCACAACCTAAACCATCATTAGGAGCATACACTTTTGCAGGTTGAAATTCCACTAGAAAGATCAAACATGCAGAGCACAACACACACACACACACACACACACACACACACACACACACACCACAAGCCCGCACACACGCACGTGTACTCTTAGAGAATTTAGGATAGCATCCAAATATAAGTAACTTATCTTACTCCCCCTCATTCATAATATAAGCAGTTTTCAAATTTGTGCTAGTCAAACATTTTAGGTTTGACCATCGATATAGAAAGAATTACCAGCTTAGACAATATGAAACTGACATGAATATTGTCATAATTATATTTAGAATTTGTTTGAAACAACATATTTTTTGAGAAAATTATGATCAAAGTGTTACTTTGAAAACCGTGTAAATGGTCTAGGCTACTTATATTGTGAATGACAGGGAGTATACAAAAACATTATCGTTCTCAGCCATGTCATTCACTTTGTGTTTTCATGCCAATGCAGGTCGTAACTCATGTAACTTTGAAGTAGTGTCTTGATATAACGGTGGTCAAAGCACTGGAAGACGCATGCATTCCTGGTTTTCTTCCACTGATCCTTCAGGAAAAGAATGGAAAAAATGTTCGACACATTTTTCGTCTTTGTGGAGGGGATGCCATTACTCGAATCAGGTGGGCAATGTCTAGTATTGCTCCATACTTCAAAATGTGTCAACTATGTGTCTCATTTGTAATCAGACTCTTTTCAATTTTAGTCATGTGCCTGGTTTTGTATCAATAAAAGTTGAGCGGGTTTTTATATGGTGTGTAAAGGGGTAGAGACCCCAAACAGCTAGGATATAATCAAGCGCAATAATCACTATGGTTATCTGACACTTATAGCGCAAATAGATGAAATCATTGCTACACTAAGTAGTGCCCGTGCCCGTGCCCGATCTCTACAATGTTAAATAAATTATAATGATACAAGTTATGGGAGCACGGTGAACCAAACTATAACCTGAAAATGAGGATATTTTGTAGATGGATGGAAGCAGAGAGATTGGCAGAAATCAAGCTGACCATGTTTGCAAGGCCAGCCACGAGAGCCAAGATACCGTGATTATCATGGAAAAAGTATTGGCATTAAATCTAAAGAAACAAGAGACGCAGCTTCATTGGCATGAGCAATTGATCGGACTGTTAAGCAGGATGTACAAATGAGGGAGTGTGAAACATCAAGGGAACTGTTTTATTTCAATTATTATCTATAAAGGCCACGAGAAAGATGTGTGCCACAGCAGTGCAATCATGACCTAATAGAGCAACTGATACAAAGCCTTGTGTAAGGTAGACATAGTTTTCACCCGATAAAACACAATACAATCAGAAGAGCAGGCTGGCCCAAGCAGCAATGAATGCAAAGCCACCGATCGGTGCTGGTGAAGAGAACTTCCTGTCTTCAAGGTAAGCCACAGTGTAGCACCTAGAAATGAAATGAGCAACAATCATTGTGCAATCCCATCATTCCAAACAACGCAAACGGAATCCAAGACCAGCGGTCCTTATTTTCTTTGCATCCCATGAAAGTTCACAGTGCAGTTTAAAGACAAACACACACACTTACGTTCCAGAGAAGAGCACAATTCCAGTTGTCAGAAGGCCTCCGAACTGCATACACAGCAAAGAACCGCATGAATTAGCGCGCAGCTAGATTAAAAAAAGAAGCAAAAGCAGGATGCGGGTGTTAATGCTGACGATGTTGGGGCGCTTGGTCATGGGAGCCCCGAGCAGCGCCGCGGTGTGGACGAGATGGTACAGGGACGCGGTCTGCCAAATCTGTCAAAAAAGAAAATCCCCCAACTGTAAGACGCAGATTGATCTACATGATTTGGAGGGACGGGTCGGAAGTGGAACGAGGGAGCGGCCGGGGATCGATGGACGGAGAGTGGCCGAGTGTACCTCTTTGTATCTAGGGTTCTGGGGGCGGAACATGTGCGCTCCATAGGTGCCCAGTCCAAGAGCAGCGACCCCTGCCCGACCAATTTCACACAGCCGTCAGAGTGCGGAAGCAGCCGGAGGAGGAGGAGGGGGAGGGCAGGGGAGGGGGGTGGGGTTACCGGAGACGGCGGCCACCTTGTGCCATAGCATCGGGTCCGTGGGCATCACCATCTTCTTCTCCCTCTTCGGGTCGTCGCCGCCGTTCGCTCGGTTGCTTCTGCTTCCGCTTTCCCTCCTTCTCCGCTGGTGGTTGGCGTTTTTTCAGGGAGTTGGCGTTTTGCTGCCAGCAGTAACTATTTTCTGTGGCCAAATCGGTCAAAACAGTTGTGAGACGTTGGATACTTGGATCAATGGCCAGCACGGCGCATTGCTTAGAGCAACTTTAGCATACCCCGCAAAAAGCCCGACCCGCAAAATAACCGCCAAAATGCGGGTCGGCGCGGAAAATCCCGCCCGAACAGACCCCGCAAACGCGGCCGGCCCGCAAAAATTTTTGAGGGGCGCGGCAAAATCTCGGCCGTTTTCCTTCGCCCCTGCGGTGCCGCGTATCTCAGTGAAGCGGTTGACGGGAGAGACATTTCAGCCCGCGCGTCTTTCCCCATCTCCTTCCGCCGCCGCCCGCCTTTGGTTCCGCCCGTCCGCCGCTGGCGATTCCGGCCAAATCTGCGGGCGGAATCGCGCTGCGGGGGCGTCCCGCACCCTTCAGCACCGATACGCTGCACCGCCACCCCCGGATCCGGTGAGAAGAGCCGACCCTCGTCGTTGTCGCCGCAGGGGATCGACCGCCGTCGAACCCGCCCCTCGTCGCCGCCCGGGATCACCCGCCATAGCCGCCGCCGGTTAGTGCTTGTTTTGTGCTTTGTGCCGAGCGGTATGCCTAGTTGATTGACTCACGCGGCGTGCGATTCTTGTCCATGTAGATGGAATTGAACCCGTGCGAGAAGTCTTGCTCTCCGATTCGGACGACTCAGATGTTGAGACGATGCTTGCAACCTTTCGGTAGCAGACATTAGTGATGGCACTTTCCGTGAAGGAGCACGAAGACGAGAACCGGAAGAGGCGGCGAGGATCGACCGTCGGGCGTCTTTGCATTCCTCAGAATCACCATCTTGGGAATGAGATGTTGATGCAAGACTACTTCATGGAGAATCCAACATATCCACCGCACCTCTTCCGGAGAAGGTACCGAATGCGTTGATCCCTCTTTGTGAAAATTGTTGAAGCTTGCGAGGCAAATTATCGGTGTTTTACTCAAAGAAGAAATGTTGCGGGCTTAAAGGGATTTAGTGCATATCAAAAAATCTCCGCAGCTATGCGGGTGATTACATATGGCGTTCCAGCTGACTATGCCGATGAGTACCTTTGCATTGGTGAAGATACCGCAAATGAGTCAGTGCGTAGATTTGCCAAAGTGATCATCCGTGTCTTTGGTCCTGAGTATCTTCGGGCACCCAACGAGGATGACACAAAGAAATTGATGGCATCTAATGAGAGGATAGGTTGGCCTGGCATGCTAGGTAGCATTGATTGCATGCATTGGACTTGGAAAAATTGCCCGAAGGCATGGCAGAGAATGTATTGTGGCAAGTCTCGTGATGCAACAATTGTGCTAGAGGCCGTAGCATCCGAAGATTTATGGATTTGGCATTGATTCTTTGGTATGACGGGCACTCTCAATGATATCAATGTGTTGCAATGGTCTCATTTGTTTGCTAGGCTTGCTAGTGGTGATGCTCCTGCTTGCAACTACACTATCAATGGGCATGAATACACAAAAGGTACTATCTTGCAGATGGTATATACCCTCCTTGGTGCACCTTTGTCAAGAGCATCAAAGATCCCAAAACGAGAAAACATTATGAATTCTCAAGGGTGCAAGAGGCAGCCCGAAAAGACACTGAAAGAGCATTCGGGGTTTTGCAATCTAGGTTTGCCATTATTCATGGTCCTGCTCGTTTTTTGGACAAGAGGACCTTGAAAAATATCATGACATGATGTGTTATCCTTCACAATATGATTCTCGAAGATGAGAGAGGAATGAAAATGCAAACCAGCTAGAGACCCTGACCACATTAGAGCTTTTCTTAAGACCTACAAAGAGATTGAAAATGCAAACACCCACTTTCAACCTCAGGAGGATCTCATTGAGCACCATTGGTGTCGGTGTCAAAACCGGCGGATCTTGGGTAGGGGGTCCCGAACTGTGCGTCTAAGGCGGATGGTAACAGGAGGCAGGGGACACGATGTTTTACCCAGGTTCGGGCCCTCTTGATGGAGGTAAAACCCTACGTCCTGCTTGATTATTCTTGATAATATGAGTAGTACAAAAGTTGATCTACCACGAGATTGGAGAGGCTAAACCCTAGAAGCTAGCCTATGGTATGCTTGTATGTTGTCCTACGGACTAAAACCCTCCGGTTTATATAGACATCGGAAGGGGCTAGGGTTACACAAGGTCGGTTACAAAGGAGGAGATATACATATCTGTATTGCCTAGTTTGCCTTCCACGCCAAGTAGAGTCCCATCCGGACACGGGACGAAGTCTTCAATCTCGTATCTTCATAGTCCAACAGTCCGGCCAAAGGATATAGTCCGGCTGTCCGGAGACCCCCTAATCCAGGACTCCCTCAGTAGCCCCTGAACCAGGCTTCAATGACGATGAGTCCGGCGCGCAATGTTGTCTTCGGCATTGCAAGGCGGGTTCCTCCTCCGACTACACCACGGAAGAGTTTGAATACAAGGATAGTGTCCGACCCTGCAAAAATAAGTTCCACATACCACCGTAGAGAGAATAATATTTCCACAAATCTAATTTGCTAACACGTTTTGGTAGCATGACACCACGCCACGGTCCGGTAATTATTTGAACTGTTTTTCTTTAACCAGCCCCGCACATAACACGAGGCGGTTTCTTGATACGTCTTGTCAAAGCAGAGATCGTGCTCCCCTTATTACGGGATTCTCATCAATACGGACGTGGGTAACCCAACCGCGCCATCAATTACGGCGCTTGGGGGATAAGCGAGTTTTACCGGGCTAGTGGGGGCGCATAGTTTAGTCCGCCCTTATAAAGGGATAAGATCTTACCTTTTTCAACCCACGCCTTCTTCCTCCTTGCTCATCCATTCTCGCGCACTCGAGCTCCAGCGCCCAAGTCCACATCCTTCTCCTCAACTCTCTCCAAACATGTCCGGAGCGGGAGGCAAGTGGATGGCCTCCTCCGTCATGGAGGGGCACATCAAAAAGTTACATGGAGCCGGATACTTAGCCGCGGATATCGCGCACCGGCTGTCAGCCGCGGGGCAGATCGTCCCTACCCCGGAACCTCACGAAAGGGTGGTTTTCCTCCCCCACTTCGTCCGCGGACTGGGGTTTCTCCTCCATCCATTCGTCCGCGGCCTCATGTTCTATTATGGGCTGGACTTTCATGATCTGGCCCCAAATTTCATCCTGAACATCTCGGCGTTCATCGTCGTGTGCGAGGCTTTCCTCCGCATCTGTCCCCACTTTGGCCTATGGCTGAAGACCTTCAACATCAAGCCGAAGGTAGTAGGCGGCCAACAAGCGGAATGCGGCGGAGCCATGGTGGGCAAAATGCCCAACGTTACATGGCTCGAGGGCTCCTTCGTGGAGACCGTAAAGGGGTGGCAATCGGGGTGGTTCTACATCACCGAGCCGCACGACACCAACTGGGAGGCGGCCCCCGAGTTTCGATCCGGAGTCCCCACGTGGCTCACTTCCTGGAAGGAGAAGGTCCTGTCTTGGGGCTCTTCGGTGGAGCTGGACGGACTCCAGAAATGTATCCGGAACATGACAAGCAAGAAACTTAAGCTTGTCAACATAGTCCAGGTCATGCTCTTCCGCCGGATCCTCCCGTGTCAACAACATGCTTTCAACTTATGGGAGTTCGACCCGGCCCAGCACCAGACTCTACGTGAGCTCTTCGACATGACACATAAAGACGTCTGGAAGGCGCTGTTCAAAGGTGCCGAGGTCCCTCCTTCTCTTACCGAGGACCGCGGGCTAAGCGCGAAGCGCCTTGCATATTCGGTAAGTTCTGTACACAGGGTATTTATTTCCCACAGCTTAAATATGTGCGGGATTTGAGCTCTCATGCCTTTGACAGGACTGGGTGGAGACATCGGAGCAGATTAACTGTCCGGCCCCTCTGCCCGAAGACCCTGCGGATGCTCTCTTAATGGAGATGCAGACTCCAGCTCCTTATGAGGTGCCGGATAAGACCAAGAAGTCCAAGGGAACCCGAAAGAGTTCCCGGCGCCAGGTGGTATCGGACTCATCGTCCGATAACTCCGAGGCACACTTCTCCCGTGAAAACGAGAAGGAAGACGAAGACTCTCCCCCTCCAGCCGGGGAGACAAGAAAAGGAAGACCGCCCCAATCGGGGAGGCCGAAGGGTCTAATAAGGGAAGGACTCCCCTTCCGGACTATTCCACCACCGCCGCCGATAGCGAAGACGAGTGGTTGCTCAGGGCCAAGCCACTGGCGAAGTCGTAAGTATTCGGATACCAGAGTAACTCATAGCATACTTTTGTTGCACTACTTCTCCTAACGTCGAATATGATTATGCAGTCCGCCCCGAGCCCGTATCGACATATCATCGTCGGACGGTTCCTTGGACTCGTCGGACAAGGACAGTGATACGCTTCCAACCGCCACCTCTCCTGGCCCTATGGACAACGCCGAGGTACTATCTCAAGGGGCACCGAGCCGAGGGAGACAGTCCCGTAGGCGCCTCAAGGCGACCTTCTGGACTCCAGGAGCAAAGGGAGTAAGGCTCCTAGGGGCTCCAAGTCCGGACCGCAGCCGGACACTGCGCCAGAACCTCCAGTGGTTCCGGACTCGGGCAGGCGGCCCCCTTCCAAGAGGGGCAAGCCGTCCGCGCCGATGACCTCTGTCCATCCAGAGGCACCGGACGAACTGCTGGGAGCGCTTAACGACGCTTCCATCGATGAAGGGCACCGCACTATTATGAGTGCGGTGATCAAGAAGGTTCAGTCCGCCAAGGGCGGACTGACTGAAGCCTGTACCAGCCTTCTGACAGGCTTTGAGGTGAGTATTTAAAATATAGAAAAAATATTACCGCATAGACAGTAGCCCCTGATGCTCTGTTTGGTGTTCACAAAGAAAAGCCGAATAGAGGATCGAATAA